TTGCAATTTTTTTTTGTGGTTAATACCTAACATTTTTATTAAAGCCCTTTCAGTTGGCCAAATGTGTGTACCAAAAATATCTTTAGCTTTATCTTTAATAGCTTTATCTTACATCTATGAAGATTCAGAAGATGTATGCAGAACTAAAGTGTGCAACTCCAAGTTCCCTTATGCAACTTTAAACGTAACTAACACCAAAACAAATAAGAATCTATGTGGTTGCACCTACTACTAAAGTCTGCAGTTCAAAAAATTCCTTAAAAAAAAGATTAACTGAACTATAAACCCAGTGGCAGACATGTGACCATAATTACATCTGTCATGCTAGCCTCCATTTTGATTGCCTCTCAAAAGATTTTCAAGCCAGGTAAGTGTTTCTATACACATTTACCAGGGTAATTTCACTTTTGCAGGCCTTTACTTTCCACAGGCATTGGTCCCTCCAGAGTGGCAGGACCTTTAAACTAGCCGATATAGCAATCAAAAATGGATGGCTGCTGTATCATCAAGATGCAATAAGCATTGGTGTGTGAAGTCACAAGAAGCTTAAGGAATTCAGGGTGAAAATTGCAGGTGCCCTGATCCACTCTGGAAAGAAGAAGAGGAGGTCTTACATGGAATGGAAGGAGAATGGGTACAGCCAGACCAGATGCATGCAAAGGCAACAATTCCAACACCCACAATTGATGTCTGTTATCATGTGATCCAGTGACCGAGTTTAAAACATCACAGCTCTCCATATCAAGTAAAGGTTCTGGCTGTGCAGTGAAGGAGAAAAACACAAATGTACTGCTTAAGGTGTGGTGTTAATCTGTCACTAGAAAAAACTCACACAACTGCTTTCAAGTTTTAAATAAAAATAAACAGAGATCTACATAGATTGATGGGCAAATAATGCATCTAATTGATCTGGTACTGCCCATTAAAATGAGCAGATTGCATGTTCTACAGGCAGCTTGAGATTGGCTGTAAAACAAAGGTGAGGTTTGGAGCCATAGAGATGTAGGTAAGAAGGATAATAACGATTGTAATATCAATAATATTAATATTACTACAAATAACAACATCAGTAAAAGAAGATAATTCTTGTCCCGTATGTCTGAAATCGGATAATTGTATCTGCCTCACTGTTTCCTCTTGGATTGTCTTCTTAATTTTTTTGAAAACATACTGCTCACTGCATCGTCATTGGAAATGTCTCACTATGAAAGCAACTGTGAAATATGTTTTCCAAAAGAATGAGAAAGGCTCAATAGTGTGTGCAGAATTTCTCTACCGTTTGTCCTTTTGTTGATAATGATGGTGCAGAAAAAACAGCTGCCACCTTCAAAGGAAGATCGCATTCTGCTTGACCTTTATTTATGTCTTTGAAATGTTTCAAATGGAAGTTGTGAGAAAAAAAATATCCTTTAGATATCTTTTAGGACACAAAGCTAAAATAGAACCAAAACAATTTATACCATTTAAAATTCAAGACAGTTATGGAGAAATGTGTAAAAAATATATATTTTTTACACATTTCTACTACTTTTTTTTTTTTACAAGAACAACCTTTAGCAACAAACACTTTAATAAGAGAACGGGATGGTAAAAAACAGAGATAATCTGGATTTGAAAATCTTACCTGTTTCAACAAAGATAAAAAAAAATCTGCATTTCAGTACATGGTGTAGTATGGAGTAAACACTGTTGAATTAAAGCAATGTCAAAGCATAGGACCAGGTTAACAATAGGCTCAGACTGGCTTTCTTAAAAGATGATGGAAGGAAGGCGTTGAAGCATAGTTTACCTGTTTTTTTTCAATAATGTGGCCATGTGAGCTAATAGTAATTATTGTATAAATTATATTGTAATAATAGTATAAATTGATATATTTGCAGGCACATGAAATTGTGTATTAATAATTTTATATCTGCATAAATTAATGCATGTGGGTATGGAGGACCAATCGTGCCATAATTAAAAATACATACAGAAATAAATGAATGACTTAATATAAAATAGCTTGAAAAAGTAGCTAAAAATATCAATTTGTGTGTCATTAAATGTGACAAAATAATAAAAATAAGACATTTCTTCATCAGTTGATCAATAGCTTCCAATAGCTTCACAACTATTGGCCAAGGCTAGCTCACCAGAAATGGTTAAGGAGCACGGGCGCGCATGCTTGGATTTTGCCTTCAGGCAAAGGTGTAGCGATAGGTAACTTGTGGAAAGCCCTAGCAAATGAACTCGGACAAGTTGCTGATTTGTCAGAAGAGCACAATTTCTAACGATCATGTCCTATATCGTCTCAACTGCTTAACTGAGAGAATGATAAAAATGTTAGAAACAATCAACATAGCAGATCTTGACCCAACAGTGTTGCAAAGTTTGGACGAGGTAGCTTGACGCTTGTACTCTACCACGGTGGTTAGTTTTATGTTCGACATTCTATTTCTAGTATGGACTCATGATATAAGAAGGAATGTGGAAGGTGTTGGTGATAATGACTACATAAAAGTAGAGATGGCGGGCTTAAAAAAATGTGGCTTCGTCGTACCCCTTTTCCAACATATGTTCTGGATTAAAAATATAACTTTAATAAAATATTTTTTGTTTCTGTTTTTCCTTACTATGCTTTCCACATCACAATGATTTTAATCTTTTTCATTATAAGTTGCTAATTCCTATTGAATTATATTATGTTAAAACAAATACTGACTAAGGGAGATCTACTCAGGTCGGAACACCATATAAAAGGAAGAGGAAGAGGGACAGGGGTCAGCATCCCCCTCCTTGGACATGTTTTGCAAAACATTACCTATTGTCACTTGTGCAATATTCTCTCTCACTGTGCAATAACACATGCCGACTACTGTGTAGCCTGTTTATTTTTTTTTACTTATTTATAAGTTCAGTACAATTCTGTAGTACAAGTGCAATAACCCAAGTCAACTACTATGTAATTTTCCCTTTGCTCTCTATTATGCAGATATTTGGATATCTAAGAGAAACATATTCCAGGAGAATAAAACATTTCTTTTTTTAAGCTTTTTTGAACACCATACCCTCTTTTTATATTGTCTGTTGTATTCTTATTTTCAATGACATCTTGACATCACTTTGTACTCTATATAAGCCACTGGATCCAGAATTTCTCTGAAGGAGTAATCCCATGGGATAAATAAAGTTGAGTCTAAATCTAAGTCTAAAAAAAATAGTTTTATTAAAAAAAACTGAAAAAGATGATTGAATCATCTGACACTGTTTTTTTTTACTATATTTGCAGAAATAAGCAAATAAACCACTAGCCAATCAAATACAAGCAACTGAAACCATTGGAACATTTAGAATTTTCATATTGGGTCAGAATGTAGCCAGAGCAACATATGATTGATGCAAACTGCCTGAGTTCACCACTCGGGCTGATGGTGATGGTACTGTATAATGGTTCGGGGGATTTTTTTTCTTGCCAGTCCTTGAGCCCTTCAGTTCTAGATGAGCATAATCACAGCCAACCTAATATTTTTGCTTAATGTGTCAACCTCTTTGACCACAATATACCCATCTCCTGATTGCTACTTCCGGCAAGTTAATGCACCATGTTACAAAGGTCAAATCATCTCAAATTAGTTCACCAAAAATGACACTGAATATATACAATATAACATGGTGTTCCTACATTCCCAAGATCTCATTTGAGTAAAGTACCTAGATCAAAACGTGCAATTGTGTAATGCCATCATGCCAGTGTGTAAAACATTTTGGAGAGCATTTGTTATAAAAATAAGAATTAAGTTAGGTAAAGGCCTTCCTATTTTTTGTGTGTAATAACATAGTCAGGGAGTGTATTTTTCACTAACTTGGTTTGCTATAATTTCTTAGTTGTTGTGCTCAATCTTTATCCTTTTTTTCCCCCTGAGCAACTGATATCTATAATTATCTTTAATGTACTGCAAATGTTTCCCTTAAGGAAACTGCCATCACATGGTGGTACGGTGCAAGATGTGAGTTGGTAGCTTTAACCCGCTGAGTTAAATGAAAAAGATGAGTTGCGTTTAACCATGAATATTAGTAGCAACCATACTTCTGAATGGAACTCGTTCAATAAGGATAAAATGGAGCTTCCTTCCTTCCTTCCTTCCTTCCTTCCTTCCTTCCTTCCTTCCTTCCTTCCTTCCTTCCTTCCTTCCTTCCTTCCTTCCTTCCTTCCTTCCTTCCTTCCTTCCTTCCTTCCTTCCTTCCTAACAGCAATAATTCCAACAGCTCTTATGTTTTTATGTGGCTAGTCTATTTAAAATATAACTTTTTAACACCGTCCCTTTTGATTAACTGACAGATAAAAACCCCAAGGTGCTCACTGTGTTATGCTTACTATGGTTACAGTCCTTATTTCTAAGAGGTTCAGATTGCATGGAGTACTTAATCACCTTTGAGTTGTTCTTTTAAATGTTCCACCCATACCAAGAAGATAGTATGGCCCCGATTGGTACTTTCACCAACACTTCTCTCATCCATTGTGCCTGTGAGCTATGTGCTGCTTAACATTCACTCAGTCTGCTGTCATGTCCCCATGTGGCTGTTTGCTCAACACTAGACAAAACCAATATAATCAAATGTCTTTCTGCCCTTTCTTTAGAGGGAGAGAGAGAGATCAGGCCAAATTGGATTCACTGGCAGATAACATTCAGTCCAAGAATGTTTGGTTGTTATTCAGCAAGTAAAAAGAAATAAAAAAAAAGCTAGACAAAGATCCTTGCAGATGAAACTTTAACCAAACCTCTTATATACTGTATGTCTTAGCAGTTCAGGGATTGAAAATATGAATAAATAAATAATTCCACAATAAAAAAAAACAATACACATGAGCTATGTCAATACATAACTGAACTGGCTGCATCTTAAGATATGTACAGAGATACAAGTGTTTATGCTCACCAATTTTGTATAACATAGTCCAGTTTAATTGGAAATGCATGCATTGTTTTTATATAGTGTGACAGAAGAAAGTATTTTACCTAATTGCGTTGTCCATGCGTGACACGGTGAGGTAGGCAGCCAGGTTTGCTGTGTAGGACGAACACACGATGAGGGTGAAAAGCCACCAGCTGCCCATGACAATACGCAGAGCCACTGAACCCAGGATGGAGTCACTGCCTGCACAGTGTCAAGACAAGAATAGTTCAAAAGCACAAGCAGAGACGCATATCCACGTGAACAGATGCTAGGTATTCAAAAGACATCACCTTCAATTGGTTTTGCACTTGTAAATTGTAAAGCCTGATCTCTGATTAGGGATTAATATAAACTTTTTAATGTGTAAACTGCATAAACTCATTACATGTTATAAATATAACTATCAAGTTTCTATTATTGTAAACATGAAACAAGTAATACATTACAGTAATCCCAAACAACTGTCTTTACCCAAATCAAGAATTACTTTCCTATTAACTGCTAACTTTCTACAAAAGAAAGTGCTTCATTTTATAATTTGCTGTAAACGCTAAAACTAAACCAAGAGAACAACCGCAGGATAACAAAACCGTAACTACTGCCAAACTGCATATTTATCTTAATAGTTATCTCAGGCTAGAAGACAGATTTATTTAATTTCTTTTATCTTATGTTTTGATAAAGGCAGAGAAATATAAGCCTTACAATTATAAATTGGGGTGGATAGTTTTCTGCATTATTATTGCAGTTTCTCCATTTTTATTGCTGGGCTCTGCTGGGCTTAGATTGATTTTTCAATAGGTTTTCATCTCGGTGGTCATATGTGTAGAAGTGCCTGTGTTTAAAATATACTTAAGTATCATGGAAAAGCTATATTTTTTACAATAAGACTGGTAAACTAAAATGTTTATTTATGTTGACTTGTATGGCTTATACGGATGGAAACTCAGAATAGTCTTTTTTTAACATAACTGAATATAAAATAAGACCATTAAAATGTTTTTTCTTTTTTCTTTTTTTATAGATATGCTGGCATATTTCAGAGTATAGACAGTCAGTACTTGGACAGGGATCATTTTGCATTAATTTGCTATCCAATCAAACTCACTGATAAGATGGTCATTGAAGCAGGTCTTGTTATTTTGGGCAGTGTGAGCAGATAGTAAGACCTACTGGAAAATGAATTCATTGTCTCTATTAAGGTTGTCAACAAGGGAAATCATGAGGTGCTGCATAATTTTCTGGTGAACAGCTGCATTCATTTTAGGGTTTTTTAAATATAGCTGGATATCTGTCTGTCAAAGTTTTTCTGTTGTTGGCACCCATGCCCTCTAAAAGAGCTAAACCTCACAATCCTCAGGTCTGTACTGTAGGTCTTCTGGACGTTTGAGCTCCCTCTTCTGTCATGCTTTTTCTTTCTACTCAACTTTTCATTAATAACCTTAGATTCAGCCATCAAAACAACCATCTTCTTTTAAAAAGGGTGTTTCAATCTTAAAATATTTTGTGGGGGTTGTACTTGGGTTTTCTGGTGAGGATTGGGTGAAGAAATTACACAGGAGAGATAATCAATTGTTTATCAAATTTATGAATCTTCTGAAAAATATTTTGTTTTGATCTGATGCAAATTAGGAAATAGAAAAGAAATAAATTATTCATCTAGACCAAAAAATATCAAACTCTCTTTTTTCTTTTTCTTTTTTAGCGGGAAAATGTCAGCATTATCAAGTCTTTAAAAGGGTTGGTTGCAGCTGTATGAAAAAAAATTAAAATTTATTTTTTAATTTACAAACCACACACCTATCTGGTATTATAACTTTTCTCCCATTTATTTAACAGTTTTAAGACCTAAAAAAATCTATTTGATTATTAAATATTTTTGGACATGGTATGCTTTTTTTGCCCTCTGAGGGTCGAGTACATTGAAGTACATTACCCAGACCTTTAGTTTGAACCCTATCCACCTGTGGATGCTTTTTGTGTGTTTTGCACTCAGGGATGCTTACAGTTTTTTTTTTTTTGTATCATTAAACACAAATATATCATTTATAACATTTGATGATTTCTTTGAATTCATATCCATTTTCGCCAATATTATGTCAGAAAAAAAGAAGACTGGTGTATCACATGTTTGTTACCACAGTATCAGATTTGCTTTCTTGCACTGGCCTGTTCTCTGCAAATTCATATACAATGGCTTAAGAGATGAGTGAGAAAAAAATGTCAGCGTCAATTCTGATCCAGAAAAGGAAAGCCATAGAAATGTCATATGAAAGTTTAAGGAGCATGAAAAAGTGATGAAAACATATTTGTCTGGAAGTGTCACAATCGGAACAGCTGCACCCTCAGGAAACCTTGCAGGAAAAGGAAAAAAAAGTAAAGTTCTTGTCAAATGTATAGAACGAAAGAATCAATCATTTTTTACACATGAGTTAGTATTTTCCCTCCATTTCAGGTTCATTTGATTTGAACAGCCCATGCTTACATTTAATCAGCTCTGATCATTATTATCAGTGGTACAATGTTTCATCTAAGAACCACATTGATTAAACAATGTAGTTATGACAAAAGTTTTTATCCATTTTGTCTTTGGGATGGTTCAGATTATATCCTACCCCCCTTTATGTAAAAAAGAGCACTAGCTGTATGAAAAGTGGCAGTCAGTGTCTGGGGGTGAACAATCTATTTAGCAGAGAACACACAACCCACAGTTCTGGCATATCATTATGGAATAATTTGGGTATTTGGATGCCAAGATTCAACTACTAACAATGGCAAACTATGAGCATCAGCAGTCAGATCCATATCAAAGGGTCTAACATCAACTCGATGGCCCCTTAAAAGAAAAAATCACTTGAATCATACAAGAAGTGGCAGCGCTGAAACATGAGCCAGAAATGAGGACAGGAAAAAAAGAAGGCAGATAAAAGGCATGCATTTGGCTTCTCTTGAAATATAGTGGGTGCTGGGTTAAAAAAGGTTCACAGGCAGTATGCCAGACTTGCAGTTTGGGCTTTAAAATCAGTCATTTGTTATAAAGGGACGTACCTGGATGGGGTGTCCTCCCTAAGAAAGGCACCTTTAAAAATGCCAAGGTGGCCATAGTGCCTGAAATGTATCATTTACTGAATCAGCATTTATTGTATGGTGACATCCACATATGTCTTCCATTTTATTGTAAGTTATTATACCTAAGTTGTTATGACAGCAGCAGCCAGGGACATTCTGCTTTTGCAACTTCAAAGGTCATCCTTTCTGTGTCAACATATTGACAAACAGAAACCTACATTTATTAAATCATTCAGAGTCCTAAAATATTTGCCAACCAGTTTAGATCTTTACAGTTGAAAAGGGAGGTTATCTTTTTTTTTTTTTTTGCTATCAGGTTTTGATCTACTTCATTTAGGGTTCCAATTTTACATGCTATGTAGAACAGTAAATTGCTAAGGAGAGAACCACCCAGTTATTTTGATTCGATTAAATTAAATTCAATAAAAAATACTTCATTGATCCAAAAAGGAAAGTAATCAACATTTTTTATAAAGTTAATACATTGCTAAACAATACAATAATTTGAATAAAGTTGGAAAATATTTCAAATAGGAACAATTATAACAATAAGTTATTTATTTCAAATAAATAACTTATTGGAATATATTGAATTAATTGAGTTTCTTTAAGCAGGGATAATTTTACTTTTGTAAGGGGGAGACATAAAATAGATTAATGGTGTCTTTAAAACATGGAAGAAAACTATTCATTGAATAATTATAACAATTTCAAGAATTCTTTAAGTTTTGAAATTTATCTAGTAGATTTCTTTATTTGATGCATTCATCTCAAGTTTAAAAAAAATAAATAAATGTATAAACAGCCATTTTCGCATTTGCTGTGGGATTTGTCGTCTAATTTGGCTTTCTTACAAGCTGCAGGTAAAATTATCCTCATTCATAAGCTTCTTAATGTGTAACATGCAGAAGCTCAAAACGCCATGGACATGACCTTCCTTTAGCAACTGAAATTCTTTTGCTGTATTTTGCTTTCATTCACTAGAGGGTTTATCTTTGTTCATCCATGAGCCTATGCCAAGTATCAGGATTGACAGTTGAAAACAAGTTATGAAAACAGCACAGCTATTAATGATTATCTGATATGATAATTCTTAATATGCTGCCAATATGTTATCAATCATAGCTGCTTTAATTAAAACTTACTCTAGCAAGGATGCATAACGTGTCAGAAACAGACATAATTTTAATTCCTTTAGAGGGAAGGACACTGCTGAGAGAGGGCTGTAGGTTAAGGTGGACTGGGAAGCATCTGAATCTAGGCCACTACTGCAAGGACAAATCAGAAGAAAAAAATGTTTTTTATAACTTAAATTCAATGACTGTTTTTTTTCTCCACAAAGAGCCATTCTTTGGTTGGGTTGTCCTTCTCCAATTTTAACTGGGCGTTCCCACTATCAAATTTTCATTTCTTACTGGGATTCTGAAGAAGGAGATACATTTTCACTTATCAAAACATATATGAAACATAGAGTAAGCAAGCTAATTTTAACATAGCTTCTTGGCCAACATTTTAAGTGAAAATATCCTTTGCTGGGGTGGATTGGCATTAATGGAAGACAATTATTAGCTTTTGAAACAAAGAATCTAGTTATGCCCGTTGAACCCCTATGAGCCGGTATGAGAGTCTACCCTTAATTCAACTCACATGGTATCACTGCAAGACAATTTCAAATAAAGCTGATGTTCTCATTGTGTTGTAACATATAACCTATAACAATTATGTCATTTATAAATTTAGATTTTATTTAGACTTTTTATAGACTTACGGAAAGAAATGCTCAACAAGAAAAACCTAATGTCATACAGATTTATTATTATTATTATTTTCCATTCTGCTCCATATACAGCACCCCTGGGAATATAACAGGCTGATGTCCACTGGTTAATTAGTTAGGTTATCTGGTAGAGATTGTATTCAAACATTATGCTCTTAGATTGCCAGTTGTAAAATATTGATAATAATACCTGCACACAGACACAAAACGAGCGGAGGGTCTTTATTCTATCCTGCTGATCAGGAGTTGCAGCAACAAGTTCGAGATTGGTAGCACAAGTTTTAAAAGTGATGATGTCTCAGGCCTACATGTATTTCCCTCAGCCTTTCTAATGGAGTTTAATTAATTTCAATGACTTTATTTGTTATGGTATCAAAAGTGATTAAAATTATTCATTAAATTACTTTTAAAACATTTAATATGCTTAGTGTTACTTTTTGTAGAGAATATGAAGTTCACAGGATCGCAAACAAATATTTGCTGCTAGAAACTATCATTCCTTTCGGTTTTTGACACAAGTGTGACTGACCTTGCTGCACAAAAGCACCATAGACAATCCAGATGGCACTCTGAAGCGAGGTAGAGGTGGACGGTGGTGGATGGCCTGTGTTGCTGTGACATCTGACTGCCTGGATACGCCGGAGCAGAAAGATCATAATGCCCACCACAGGGATAGCTGCAGCAATGCATGCCCATACGGCGAGGTCAAATGGCGCTAGCAGTGAGAAAATGTTGATCTTGTCCTCTGACTTGCGCGTCAGGATTCCCACAGAGTAGTCCAGATAGCGTTTGCTGAAGTCCACTACACTCTCCCGCTCTGGAGTGATGGTGATGGCTGACACAGCCAAATCAGCTCGCTGAAAATAAACCAAAATGTTTTTTGTTTTTTTTTAAAGAAAACCTCACACATCTAACCTATTTTCACAGTTTCTCTACATTTAACATATTAAGTGTGCTTGTGTTTCTGCAACAACTGAGGGTCAGACTTCATCTGCTTGTTTATTTCCTTACATTTTAAGCTATAGTGTTGAAAATGCATAAATCAAAATCCTTGTACTGTAGATATTTAGATTATATAAGTCAGTGTATAAATGTAAATGTTTTCTTTGCTCTTTAAAGTGGTCTAAAACATTTTGACCTTTTCATATTGAATGGAACAATACACACTTTTTTTTTTTCTTGAGGCTATGTTTGTTCAGTGATAGATTGGTGCTGAGGCCCTTATACCTAGTCTACAATATGGCTTGACTGTGAGAAATATCATTTTTAAGATGAGCATAGATATTGCTCCTTTGACACGTGGAAAAAATACGAACCTTTCCAATGAGCTCTCCAATTACGCCATTCCAGGATCCATTAGGGAGCGCTGAGCCATACTTCCCATCACCGACTTGATAAATGTTATACTTGAAACCCAGGATCTTGGCGAGGGCATCCAGGACATCGATAGAAAAACCTTTATATCGTTTGGGTTGACCCAGGATGTTTTCAGCCACCATAACAAATGGTTCCTCCTGTTTGGGTATATAAAAAAAAAAAAAAATCATAGAAACTATTTCAGATCATAATAGAACATGGTCTTACACAAAGAAATATATAATAGCAAGAAACTCCGACTTTGAAATGAAAGTGTATTTCCATTCAACCAAAACATTTTTATTTATTGAGATGCACAAAAAGCTGTTATTGGTCATATTGACTGCTAAGCTTGGGGCATAAAAACAAAAAACATAATGAAAAGCTCCTGTATAATGTCCAAACCATCTTATAATTAACCTAGTTTCCACATAAACTTTTACTCAATAACCATGTCATAACAGCTGCTATAGTAGGTAAGTTGAAATTACCATTTAAAATGTATCGTCTCCCCTGATAGTTCCCTTTTTGAGTAGAAGTGTCATAGCAGTATTAAATAGGTGAAATGAAAAGAGTTGAGCAGGACGGGGCGGGGGAGGGGAACTTGGAAAGAGGAGAGGTGTTAAAGTGGGCAGGAGCAAATGACTTGATGAAGTGAGACTGCCATGAGAACACTGAGCAGAACTTATGTGAATAAATATGGTGCAGGTAAATCATCTGTGAACAGAGAAAAATGGAGAGGAGGAGAAGTGATTGAGGTAAAGGACGAGGGCAGAGACTTTGTCGTGGAAAATAGGGTTTTACTTTTAGAGACACTGCTGTGCTTTAATGGTTTTCAGATCCATTATACTTTCAGGACAAAGCGAAGATTTCTGTTTGCTGGGGGGAAAAAAAACATGTTTGTGGAGTTGATGTTTGGTGTTCTCTCACAGTGATTTTAATCTTTGAAATGGAAAAGCATCAAAACATTTCATTGTACCTCCCTCTAAAGTGCTGATGACTTCCTAACTGAGTGTTTAACGTGTGAGCTGCTGTGAGTTTTATTGTTTAGCTGCTGTCCATAAAGAGAACTGAAGAGCGTTTATATACTGTGCTTGGTCTTGAAATGGAGATGGATATTTTTTCCATTGCCATTTCCTTAAATTCAAATATCATCAAAAGGTAATTTTTCTTATTTAATTGATATATTTTAATTTCACACACAGTAATACAATTGCAATTCTATTTCTGCTAATTTAGCTGTCTATGGCTTACAGCTTATGGAAAAATTTTTAAATACTATAATAGATAAAAAAAAAAAAAAAAAAAACTATATTTTAGTACAGCTATGTTACGTCAGTTGACCACTGACAGACTGCTGAGTTGAGAGTTGTCCAGTAGACAGTCAGTGACACCATCTGCAAGGTGTAGCAACACAAAGGCAATACATTTTCTACGTCACACACTGACATAGGATATGAGCTGCAACTGCAGGAACTCTATAAATAGATACTTTAGAATGATACTATCTGGGCTAAGAAAAGATATACCTAAACTGTTGCTAAATTATTCAAAAACTAATTTTTCAGATTGAGATAAATTATGAATTTCATGGGCCTGTAAAGGTTCCAAAAAGTAGGTGATGAGTTTGCAACAATCAAAGAGGCTGAAATCTAACCCTAACAAAGCAGGTGAGCTAAAGACAGTAGTCCATATGCCTCAATAAATGAGCTGTCAGCAGCAGTGCCGATATTATGGCAAAATTGACCAGTTTATGAAATGACCATCATCTATAATTGTACTGTAGGATATGGTTCATGCCCAGAGAATGGTAAATGGACTAAATCCATATAGAGCCTCTTCAGACATACTGTAAATATATACCCTGTGCAATAACTTGTTTCTTTATATTTGATACCCAGTGCAATTGTTATATAGATAAATACCCATCTATATAAATATAGTGTGCAATAAATGTATAATAATCCTGCTTTAAAAGAAAAAAAAAGACTTCAGCTATATATATATATATATATATATATATATATATATATATATATATATATATATATATATATATATATACCCATGCACCATTTTCTTCCTTTGGCACATTCTGCTTCTTTTTGACTATTTCAGCCAATGTAACGGCTCCTTTTCTCCACTGTGAGATCAATAAAATCAATTAATCAATCAATTAAACTGAAGGTGCTTTATACTCAATTTCTGCTTATCGCATTTACTAACCTGCTCACATTTGTTCATCGACATACAGATCGGTATGCAACTTGGGGTTAAGCTCCTTGCCCAGAGCAGCATTGACATGATGTTACAGAAGAAAGCAGGAATCAAACTCAAAATCATCTGAATGCAAGACCCACCCAGGGAAGAACAGTCGTACACAATAACATTCTGGACATATTCGGCACAAATGAGCTAACTCTTTAAGGTAGTAGGACTACAACAAAGAAAGGGTAAGAGGCTCCCTTATTAATGGGGAGCTTGAAAGTTTTTCTAGGCAGAAAAATGGCTACTTGTCAGTTCTGGACCAGATGAACTCAGAACACAATCTCTGCTAAGAAGAATATGTTGCAATAAATTGATAAATTTGGGCTTTCCATTAACTGCAAGCAATAATAATTGAATAAGTGAATATCATTTTATACATCTGTGTGTCATAAATCTATATAACCACTATATTTTATTTGATAACCAAGGTAAGAATATTCATTAAACTTAATTGCATTTAGAAGTGCATTCAGAGATGCATCTAAACATCCTTAAAAATATCCTCAGGTTATTTAATGTCTTTATTTTTGACTGTTTTTGCAACATTTATGTTATCAACTTGATTATTTCCCCCATCAGCGTAAAAAAAAAAAAAAACCTGTTTATATTCCGAAACAATTACTGAGTTGCATATCATCAAAAGCTCGTTAACACCTTAAGTATAAAAGTCACAAAACAGAGTCGCTGGAGCAGAAAATGTAATTTTTAACAGTAATTTCTGAAATAAACTGGCAATTCAGTGTATTTAGTGTGTTCAAGATGCTGTGGTAAAAAAAATTAAACTGTACTTTTTCTATGATATTTTATGACTTTGGCTGAAGTGTTGTTAGAGTCAGCGTCTTCCCATAACTTACCAGTAAGGTTACAATCTTGAGTGTCACTCCCTGCATACCACTCTCTATCCGATTCTCCTTCAGGCTTCCATTCAAGCCCCGAGTGGAGTCCCATGATGCCAGCTAAGGACAAGAGTAAGAAAAATCAGATTTTTAAGCCAAAAAAAACAAAACTAAATGACAATATAAATGCAAATATCTTGTAATGAAAAAGGATGGCAGAATGTGTTGTGTAAAGCTTATATACAAAAAACTATGACATGTGTAAGTCAATAATCAGTTAGCAGAATAAAATAAAAACTGTTCTAATTTCCGTAATTATCTTACTTTGATAAACTGTCTTTAATAACCATCTCCCAGTAATGGAGTATGCAAGACTGCTTTTGTAAGAACGGGCTTTTGTAAAAGCAGTCTGCACCATTCCTGTCATCTCACTAGTCATATATACAAGACTATTAAAATAACTGGAGAGGATTCCAAGTTTACTTTATGCTCCAAGTGTTAGCTTAGAGACTTCTTTGACTTTTGTCTTGAGTCCACACGGTCCTTTAGTTTTTGAACTTCTCATTCCACATGGTCAGCCTCTAGAGCCATGTCTCCGGTCTGTGAGGCTAATGTTTGTTAAATTCTTAATCTGTGCTGCTGGCTGGACAAGGATTCTCAAGGAACCGACACTTCATTTAGTGTGGCCTTTGATTTGAGCTGACAGAACAAGTTTCGTGGCCCAAGGTCAAACCACAAGCCATTCTGGCTTCAGGAAACATGACAATATTTTTTCCCACAGAAACACACCACACAAAAGTAACCTGGAAAATGTCTATGTTTAAAACATATTTTTTGAAGTACAGTTTTACTAAATTTATAAAACACCAAAGTAAACGAGTTTTAATCCATCTTTCAAATTTGCTAAACGTATGTATCATTAAGGTCAACAGGTAAGAGAAAACAAAATCTTTCACCTGAACCTAACTTAGGTCCTGATGGATTTTGGTACTGATATAGAACAATGAAATCCCAAAATTTATTTGGTTGGGATTATATATAACAGACTAAAACCAAGTAGACCATAATTAATATAAAATCTATATATAAACTATAAAATTTTAGATTTTTTTACAGATGAAAATGTTGGTACATTCACCTTTTCAAGACAGCTCCAGCTGCACTAGATGGATGAGTTGATGGAAATCAACTTGGTGTTTCTAATCCATTTTTTTACACACACACACACACACACCCACCCACACACACACCCACACACACACACACATGAAAAAAAAACCTTACCTTCCTTTTCAAAACTTTGCAACTTTGGATTTCTCTAGCACATGAATTTCTCATAAACTGAGTTAAACCTTGAGGATACAAAAAACTTTTGGAAGGCATCTGAAATATTGCACATAGATTTTATTCCGAAAAATCCTTACTTTGCTCAAATGCAACCTGTACAACTTTTGGATTTGTTCTTTTAGCTAGCATTTAAGTCTCTGTTTTATCACTGCACCACTTGGCAGAAGTTAATCTGTGCCTTACTGTAAGAACTATCCAACAAAGTCTTAAAATTACAAACTATGCATTTGGAGAAATAATTGATAAACAAAGCAGCAACAAAGGTGTTTAACTTTGGAAAAGAAATCATGCGAGGCAATCGGAGCTTGGCGAAAAACTGAGCAGGGTGTCTTTATCAGTTTGTTTGTCACATCCTCTCCTCTGAGTCTTAGTGCAGTTCATTGCTATGTATTGCTTTGCTGCAAACCCATTAATGAAGTGACTCTTGCTTAACAGCACACTAGTTTGTGTGAACTATATATCCCCCTATCAAGAGTTACTCAGTAAATGTGTCTTCTGTGTATCTGAGCAGAGTTGAAATGTCAGTCGTGTGAAGATGAGTTTTGATGTAGCACAAGAAGCTTAAGTTTTCCTACAAGGTATGAAAGAATTGTTGATATGAAAGGAGATCATGAGCCACATGTGAGTTGTAAGCACACATCTGCTAGTGTGCACAGGTGTAATGTCAGCTTATTCTTCTGTGTTGATGTTAACTGATGTGCCAATACAGATCTGACACCCGCTGCTTAAGAAGCTGTTGGTTATTTGAAAGGTGTCAAACTGCACACTTCTTAAGCAAAGACCCACAAACAAGACATCTGATGGTGTCCTATCTGGCAGTAAAACCTAGGATGTGCAAACTGAAGTCTTTTTACACATTTTATTACTGCCTCTGCCTCCATCAGGAAGGTGTCAACAGTTCAAGATTTGTCCTGTTTACATTTTTCTTTAATAACATATTTTTCTTGGTGGTCTGGAGCGTTGCCTTGTTTGTGATTCTCAGGTCTTTTTTTTTTTTTCTTGTCTAAAAGTGCTCATAATAATTCTGCCCATCTGTCTACATGACTGTGCTGTGTGCTTGTGTCTCAGAGTGTGCACTGAGGCAAAATGTCAGTGTGCACTGGCTGCCTCACAGGGGGCTATTTTCTCCATGAGCAGTTTTGTCCTCTATGAAAAACACTGAACAATCCTTGGTCTGTAAACTGAAGAACACTAAAGAGGAACACTTCTACTTCACAGAGCTTTGCCCACCAGTGTGCCATTGGAAAGGTGATAGCACAAAAAACAGGAAGTAATATCTCAAATTCACTTCACCTGCAGTTACTCAGGAAATGTATCACTAACCACTAATAGCAAACTCTTAGAATGTTAAAACATAGTTTTATATTTTTGCTGAAATAAAAATCTAAAAAGTGTAAAATGTGCATGTAGGCTGCTGCCCTGAATCCAATACCCCTGTTTAGATTAACTGCCTTTAAAAGACACCTAATGAGCATAGTATGTTCCATGTTATTAAATTCCGCTGTTCTGTGAAGGAGTTTAATTAGAAAATATTTGTGTACAAACAATATAGTTATTGAGATTTAACCAAGGTTAGATTATTAAACAATACTCCTAATCTTCACAACACATTTACATATGCTCTAATGACTAATCAGCTGTTATAGGAATGTGAATGGTAAAAAAAGGGAAACCTCAAACAACAAATGGTTGTTTACTTAGACCAGACATGTCAACTTCAAGGCCAACAGGCAATGAACATATCAGATCTCAGTGGGAGGAAGGTGAGAAAAAAGCCACCAAAAATCACATAATAACAAGCAGGAGCTTGTTTAATTATAACATAAGGTTTAAGGAGGCAACATTCAGAACCCAAACAGAGACTGAGTGACATGGCTAGATTATAAAGATTCAATTAATTTACAGCATCTAATTTTGTATGACATAATTTTCTAATAGTAAAGAAAATTTGGTGATTTAAATAGCACCATATTTATCCCTTTTATGAGGTCATGCTGACACATTCTAGCTAAGGATAACAATCTTTACACCTAGTTTTTTTTTCTAAACCATGCTTGTTAGAAACATATTTTTACTAGATGTGATGCTACATGTTTTGCAGCGTTAAACTTGTGAAAGCAGTTTTTAAATATTTATTTCTCTATATTCTTGATTGTGTACATATATTTAGCATATATCTAGAATTGCATTAAAAACACTTTGCTGCCATTAGGTGATACTTATTTTACCCAATTGTTTTATATTTGTATACTACCAACATTAAATTCAATTCATATGTTATATTTATATTATCTGTTTACCAAAAAACAAAACAAATGTATTTCTTTATATTATGGTAAATAAAGAGAGGCAGTAAGGAGTTTCAAGCTTTTATTTTTTATCATCACAATCTATAGACTTGCATTCTGTATGAAATATAATAAACAAAGCTTGGAATCATTCGAATCCCCTTTAAGATTTAAATATAAGGCATTGATTATGTTGTACTTAAGTCTAAAGTAGACTTTTTCAGTCTGTAAAAGAGATTTAGCAAATCAGCAGCATTTAGGCATAAAACCATATTTCTGATTCACTATGAAATGATTGTTGATATAAATTTACCTAAAAATATAGACAGAATTGAGGTCTGCATCATGACGACTGGGTAGATTATTTATATTAGCTTATACAACAGTAAAGTAAGATTGTTTTGGACCTCAAAATATTGGCTTATACAGATATCTAATTCATTTTTCATTTGTTGGATTCAAACAAAAATATTTTTATTGACAAATGTATCAATGTTTTATTACTGAATTTTTAATCTTGCAATAATGTGTAATTTTATGTATTATTACTTCTTTCAGACTCTCACACATACAAAAATTCCCCAAGTGAAGTAAAAAAAAAAAAAAATCCAGGGGCAGATAGATTGATGATGCACATTTAAAATAAGCTCAGTTATAGTTATATTGGTGGGGTTTCTTTGGTCCTGTGGTTTTAACTATAAGTAGGCGGACATGTAAAAGAAAAAGCATTTGGAGAAGTTTTTGGTTTTTCATCAGTTTACTTTTGATGCTGAAAGAGCTGTACTTTACCCAGCGATCAGTGATCATCAAGAAATATGTAATAAAGCCAATGTTCTTTGCATTATTTGTTTATTTACTATTTAATTTAATAAAAACATATAAAAGATCTCTTACCTGCCATTTTTTGCAAATAATATTGCTGATACCTTATCTTTTGCAATGTAACTGAACAAACTTGTGAAATAGATTTTGCTTTAAGAAGCACCTACAGTAGTATCTGTTTTATTGTCCTAATTGACTGAGAAATTTCATCTTAGCAGGTGTTGGGCATTTTTAATATATTTTAATTATTAGCAATTAGTTTCTCACTTTACAGGCGAGAGTTTGTTTATTGTAAATAAACTAAATAATTGGAGTTGGACCAATACTATAATAGGGTGCAAATGAGTCAGTAAACGAATCAACACCATCTTTTTTTGTTTGCTTCTTCTTTTGTGCACCTGTGGGAAGGATTCGAATCAGCCAAGGGACATTTTAAAAAACATGATGGAGCCAGAGAGAGCATTTATAAAAGCCAGGCTTCATAGCACTTTGCAAATTAATTGTTGGATCAACACTTCCATCAGCCCCCTGCAGATGTATTGTTGGCAAGAGATAAGTGCCCTTTAGAGAATATTTAATGTCATTTGTTCTTGATGAGTCAGTGAGGAATTAGTTTGAGCAGTTCAGTGAATGTGGCGCCTTTAAACTACTGCATCATTTACATGCAGCATGCAGTGTTGCACATTAAAGCTCATGGGAAACCCTGCATCCATTATCATCAGCAATTGTTTCTTGAAGGGTGATGATGTCCAATAAGAAAACTCTCTTCTAACCTTGTGACTAGTAAACATGTTCCCTGACGCTTGACTTGTCTACAGTGGATTAAAGGTTAGTTTCCTCATTTCACTTCAGATTGACCAGATCGTTCTGTAGTGACAAGCCTAGATCTAAAAGGCATGTGGTCGATGAAGAGCTCTAAAAGTTCAACTTTGTTGTACCTTAAAGAGCAGCTATTGTGAGAACTTGAGGGGTAAGCTTTAAAAAATCTGCTGCAGAATGTTTGTTTAATTAATGTGTGAATGAAATGTATCTGCCATCTTAAAAAAAGCTACAAAATTAATTAAATTAAATTAATTGCGGGTAAGGGGTCAGGTCTTGGTTCTGAACTCTATGGGTGCAAGTTTTGAAAAATCAAACCCGTGCAGAACTCTGCTGTGTAATACTTGCCAATGGGGCAAGTTAGTAATATCAGACTATATTTTGAGAGGGAATTTCATACATTTACTGAAATAAAATAGCATTTTTAGAGTAATGGTGAGTCCAATGTTTAGTAAGATTTGTGTATGACTGAAGTTGCACAATTTGCCAGATATCATATTGTTACTCAAAAAAGTATTTGAGAAAAACTCCATCTAAAATCCAAATGAAGGATGATTTGTATCTTAAAGATAACATACATTCCATTAATCTGAAACAATCACAAGAATAATATCATGCAATGTTTATGTGATAAAAATAGGGTTTTGAATAATAATGCATCGCTATTGAAGAAACATTTTAGAGATAATCTACAGCATAATGCATGCAATATGCTTGGCTTGTAGGAGCAATTACATTCAAATAAATAGACTTTTCTCCAAGAGAGCTCAATGTAAGCTGGAAGTCATTAGGAATATCTGCTTAGAGACGAGCTGACACATCAATAAGACCAAACCGGGAAACCAAAACAACAACAACGGCATCGATCACTCTGCATCAGCAGTGGATAGTGCAGAAATCTCACAGTAGCCATTCTGGAAATAGTATTTCAGTCTTCATTACAGTTTCTAACCAGAAAGACGCCTCATCTAAGAGCCATCAGGCTGGGAAGAAAATGGACTGAATGCAGATAAATGATGATGGAGAGGGAGAAAAGCGGGTCTGAAAAATGAGAGTAAAAGGTTAAGGGAAAGTAGAGGAAAGGAACACAGAGGAGAGGTGGAAGAGCGGGTTTGGACGTTAGAAAATAAGTGTGGGACCAAATGAGAAATACTGTGAGGGCTTGGCAGGTGCTGCACAAGGTGGAATCACAATTTCAAAGAAAGAAGAACTTTGACTCATCCTGCAGAGAAAACCCTGCAGTTATGTTTGCTTTAAGAATAATGTTTCCATGTTATATGGAGAAAACTATATTGCTGACACGTATAGCAAATGCAGACATTTTTGTCTGTTTACTTGTATGGTTTTTGCACAGAACACAAACAAAGCCCATAATGAACAACAGCACTAAGTGCAAATCCATTATCAGGCCCTGCTCACTGTCTGCCTCTAATGATCTCAAGAGACATGCACCCAAATGTTGGTATGATCCCTGCTGTTTGCTCTGTGTGTACCTGGCTGCCTGTCCAACGTGTATTAACGCTACATGTTCAGAAGTTTTTCTGTACTGTTTGCAGTGTGCCCTTTTCATGACTAATGTGTGTTTTTCCTCAATGTTTTTAGAATGTGTGTATCCTCCTTGCTAACTCTATTGCTATGATAAATATGCTTCATGAATTCAGTCAGGCTGAGTGGTGATTAAATCTCCATTACTGCTTCTGGTCAGTCCTGCTCTACATAGATTGCTCAGAAACCAAATTCTTCTTCATTGTGGGAGAAGTCTCTGACTGATTTAGGACAAAAAGTGTCAAATTACAGCTGAGAATGGAGTGCACAAATAATGTTCTCAATCTCTCAGTTCAGCTGCACTGCACTCAAAGATAAAACATCTCTCACAGTAACAAGTCAAAAACAGTCTTCAGCTAGCTTTTTCATTTAAATCATGTATAGACGTCTTCTCATTAAATGACACAAGATTAACAAAAAACAGGCCTATTTTTGTGCTCGTTTTGTCTTATTTTTTTTGTTTTTGTTTTGACCAATGAAAACCGAGTAGTTGTGTGGTAAATCCTAGATTGTAGCAGCTTTGAAAAGCTCAAGAGGTCCAGTATAGGGCACTCGCACACCTGACACTTGAGCACCAGATTAAGAGATCAGAATACAAATGATCCAGATCAAATGTCCGAGCAGTAAATGCTATGAATCATTTTCAGCATTTTAAAAGTTTTTGCTCATAACAAAATTGATAAAGCATATGTTTAAAAAGAGAAACCCTAGAGGTAGCTGGTCCTAAAGGTAAGAAAACATAATTTAATTGCAAAGAAAAAGGGTTTAATGAGAAATGGCTTCACTTATTTCATTTCTACCATACAGCATACAGTGGAGTTTCATATTGAGGCATAGGGGCTTTTTTCATTAGGGTTCTCTCAGCACCTGTCTCAGCCATGCAAGTCAGCCAGAATTAAATCTACCCACTAAAAGTGCCCTGAATGGACTTTTAGAAGGAAGCTTTAATTGGCCCTCATTCAGCATATTCCAATGACCACATAACTTGGACATGGAATGGGCACTGTTCTACATTGAACTTAAAATGTGTAACTTTTTTTCATATTAAAATGCACTACTTTTTTCTGGTGTTGGGAGCCTGCAAAAAAGGAAAAGCTGTTTAAAACAACTTTATATTTAAACAAAATACAGACTGACCCGTTTTACATCCTTCACAAAAGCATCACTGTAGCTAGTCCCAAGGATTTCAAACTGTACGTGGGAATTAGAGCCTTCTGCACGGAAGTCCATCAATCCTGTCAGTCCACTTATTCGACCCTGTAGCAACAAAGAAATAAATAAAAAGGCATTTATTGGGTAAAATGAAGAATTATATTTAACACAGTCCTCAAAACAGTAAACACGTAATCATCAACTTAAGGCTACTCTTTTTACAAATCAGAAATGTTATTATGATTTTTTTAAATAAAGTTAAAGTTATGAAAATAAAGACTAGTAATAAATTAACAGAAGCTCAGATTCCCTTTTATTTTGACTATCCTAACATTTTCTTCTCCACATTCCTATGCTTTTCAACATGTCTAAACCTGTTTAATGTTTAACATTCCTTCATTTGATTAGTTGGACCATTCAGTTAACTGACTCCTTCATCAAAAAAGCAATTTTTAACACATATTTTTCTAAATTGAAGCTATTTGAACAGAATATGTCAGTTAAGGTCAGAAATGCTCTCTATTGAAATCTAAGAATTATATGTTAGTTGGGGAAGTTTTAGTATCTGTATCTGTTCTTTAAACTTTATCATTTAATTTTATAGGAAATGCATTTACTGGTTGTATACAGGTAAATTTACTCACAATTCTTTTGCAATCTACAAACTGGTATATTAAGCCACCCTTCCAAGCAGTGGGTAAAGATAACATACAGGTGCTGGTCATAAAATTAGAATATCATGAAAAAGTAGATTGATTTCAGTAATTCCATTTAAAAAGTGAAACTTGTATATTATATTCATACATTACATACAAACTCATATATTTCAGATGTTTATTTTGTTTAATTTTGATGATTACAAATGACAACAAATGAAAATCTCAAATTCATCATATCAGAAAATTAGAATATTGTGAAAAGGTTCAAAATTGATGGCCCCTGGTGCCACACTCTAATCAGCTAATTAACTCAAACCACCTGCAAAAGCCTTTAAATGGTCTTTCAGTCTAGTTCTATAGGCTACACAATCATGGGGAAGACTGCTGACTTGACAGTTGTCCAAAAGACGACCATCGACACCTTGCACAAGGAGGGCAAGACACAAAAGGTCATCGCTAAAGAGGCTGGCTGTTCACAGAGCTCAGTGTCCAAGTACATTAATAGAGAGGCGAAGGGAAGGAAAAGATGTGGTCGAAAAAAGTGTACAAGCAAGAGAGATAACCGCACCCTGGAGAGGATTGTGAAACAAAACCCATTCAAAAATGTGGGGGAGATTCACAAAGAGTGGACTGCAGCTGGAGTGAGTGCTTCAAGAACCACCACACACAGACGTATGAAAGACATGGGTTTCTGCTGTCGCATTCCTTGTGTCAAGCCACTCTTGAACCACAGACAGCGTCAGAAGCGTCTAAAGAGAAACAGGACTGGACTGCTGGTGAGTGGTCCAAAGTCATGTTCTCTGATGAAAGTAAATTTTGCATTTCCTTTGGAAATCAAGGTCCCAGAGTCTGGAGGAAAAGAAGAGAGGGACTTCATCCACGTTGCTTGAAGTCCAGTGTAAAGTTTCCACAGTCAGTGATGGTTTGGGGTGCCATGTCATCTGCTGGTGTTGGTCCATTGTGTTTTCTGAGGTCCAGGGTCAACGCAGCCACATACCAGGAAGTTTTAGAGCACTTCATGCTTCCTGCAGCTGACCAACTTTTTGGAGATGCAGATTTCATTTTCCAACAGGACTTGGCACCTGCACACAGTGCCAAAGCTACCAGTACCTGGTTGAAGGACCATGGTATCCCTGTTCTTAATTGGCCAGCAAACTCTCCTGACCTTAACCCCATAGAAAATCTATGGGGTATTGTGAAGAAGAAGATGCAATACACCAGACCCAACAATTCAGAAGAGCTAAAAGCCACTATTAGAGCAACCTGGGCTATCATAACACCTGAGCAGTGCCACAGACTGATCGACTCCATGCCACGCCGCATTGCTGCAGTAATACAGGCCAAAGGAGGCCCAACTAAATACTGAGTGCTGTACATGCTCATACTTTTCATGTTCATACTTTTCAGTTGGCCAACATTTCTATAAATCCTTTGTTTTTATTGGTCTTCAGTAATATTCTAATTTTCTGATATGATGAATTTGAGATTTTCATTTGTTGTCATTTGTAATCATCAAAATTAAACAAAATAAACATCTGAAATATATGAGTTTGTATGTAATGTATGAATATAATATACAAGTTTCACTTTTTAAATGGAATTACTGAAATCAATCTACTTTTTCATGATATTCTAATTTTATGACCAGCACCTGTAATCTAAAGCAACTTACTGATATTTCAGATTTTATGAAGCATATACAGTATGTAGGGAAGCAATATATTCTTTCTACAATTATACATATTTTACAAATAGAAATTATTAGATTAAATATATATACTGTGCAATTATGTAAGTTACTTTTTTATTTGAATTAGCCAGCCAAAATTCCCCATGTAAACATTTTGCCTAGCAAAAATCACCTGCTATTTTATTTACCCCCCCGCACTTACCGGCCAGGCGGGGGGGTAGATACGATAAAGTCAAATGATACGATTGGCATAAAATCAAATACAAACAACATAAAAATACAACAATAAGCCGGTCCCATCGTGGTGTAATCGGAGACAATGACACACGAAGAGTGCTCCTAATGTCCAGTCTGCTCTGTAGCTTTGTTTTGGTCGCTGTAACTGCAGAAAATCCTGCTTCGGCCCGGTACCAAATGACCCACGGACCGGTACCGGTCCGCGGCCCGGTGGTCTGGGACCGCTGCTCTATATCATTCAGCTGGTGATGCACAGGCTGGGATCAAGCCAGTCAAACATTTCGCCTACAGCAGTTCAGTGAGATGAAAACATTTTTTTTTTTTTTATTAAAATAAATATGTGTTGCCAAACTTTTTCTAGATACAGCAGATTACATGTGATTTAAAGAAAATAACAGTATCTTTTATTTGGTCAAAACTCACTGAGCAATCTTATGTCACATCTAATTTTAAACCAGCATCACTACTTACAAAAATGAGATGGAGGAGATCAAACCTCTCTAGTGTTTGGGGATTGTTTCATTGAAAAAAAAAATAAATAAAAAGGCTGCCTAAGGATAACAAGATCAAAGCCCGGAAACTGCCATAAATCTGTCCTGAAACCAGGGGTAGAGTTCATGTTTAATATTCGGCTTTGTCTGGGGCTTTTATAAAAATATAAAAAATACAGTTCTATTGCCTGGCCAGCAGTGTGTTTTGCCTGTCTTTATTGTTAGCCTGATTGTATACCAACACCCTAGCATCACACATCTTTGTAATGTATAATTCTTTAAGTTTTTTTTCCCCCCTGGCTTTTTTAAAGCAATCTTTTTTAAAGCTATATATATTATATGAAATATGAAAAATATGAAAATATGATATTTCATGTATTTATGAAATAATTATCCTTTATTTTTACCTTTTCTTTTAAAAAGTAGACCCACTATAGAAGCAGGAAATGTTATTATTGTATGAATTTATATGAATACATACAGAAACACTTGTGCTCAGTGAGCTTTTACTCTGGAGTTTTTAACAGGAACTTAACATTTTGTAAACAAATTATACATTTTTTAGATGAAAATCAGATATTATTCAAGGGATCACATGCCAAAAAAAACAAAAAACTTTCTTAAATATTTTTTTCCCCTACAGTTTTTACTCATGTACCCTATTATTTATCCAGACGTCCAATGAGTAAAGACTTGGAGTAAATTCCTAAAGATGGAGTAAATTCCTAACAATGACTAATAGAACAAACTAACTGGGATGACTGATCTAGATTAATTGATAATACAAACAATTACCAGAGGTTGTCACTAGTTACATTTAATCAATTTCATTTATTTAAACAACTTTTTGAAAAAAAAGAAAACTTTTAGTAGAAGTGTAATATCAACATACTTTTTGCTTTTATTGGAATAATATCAACATGTTGCATTCCTACTTTTTAGTAGAATTTTTGAGAACTTTACCCACTGCGAATATCCTCACTTAATGAAGGACAAGATTGCTTGTTTGTCGGGGAGTGTTGGCATTGTGGATTAGAGCAGCGCGCTTGTGCTGTGAGCTGTTCCTTCTGAGAAGGTTGCAAGAACCCAATTTATTAGGGGGGCCACATGCCGAAGGCATGGCCCACCTATTACTATTGCACATATTTATTCCGCGTATTATTAGGGGGGCCACATGCCGAAGGCATGGCCCACCTACTACTATCTCACATATTTATTCCGCGTATTATTTTTATTATAGCTTATAGTTCTCCTCGCCACCAAAAACTTCGGCGCGTAACTAGTCACGCACCATTCGTCGGATCGGGTCCAAAGTTGGCACACGCGTCGGGACCAATGGTGCGATGCGTGCTTGTATAAAACTTTCTCATTAGTCCGAAGGTTCGCGAATTATTAGCGAAAACGTCGCAAAAAAAATCCCATAGGAAATGAATGGGGAGAGGAAAAAAAAGCATAAAAAACAGCACTTCACTGTGTCGGCATACATTCATGTAGAAAAACAGTTTAAAGCTCAGTTTGTAGATAAATCCTTCGTCTATTTAAAACTGAAGACGGTATGTTGATAACTGCTACGGTTTTTGTATAATCAGACCTCAAGCGCCACAAAGTTTTAGCAAAATCCAGCCTCCTAGAGTGGAGCAACTGAAAATTTAGAGTGTGAGGCAGCCGTTTTTTTAAGACCCAAAAACATTTTAAACTCGCCCTCACGGCCACATTTTTATAGCTAGAGTCACCATTTTTGGTCAGTTTGTAGACTGAAACCTCTGGACCCACACAATGTCTTCGGAATTACGGTAGGATTAATACTTTTCCTTAAAAACCCTCCAGACCGACCTAAAGTCGATGAAAATCAGAGCCGTTTTTCATTGGTTTTGGAGCAGAAGAGGGGAGAAAAACGAACAACACTATGTGTTTTCAAATCGTCATAAATATTGTTCTGAAAGACACACACACACCAAAGTTGGCACAGTTGGAGTCGAAGGATGGCTGACGCTCACGGTGAAAAATTTTTTTGAATAACTCATACGG